AATTATATTAAATATATAAATAAAATAATGATATATATATATATATAAATAAAAAATAAATAAATCAATGAATGCCTGAAGTATTATGATAAGTTAAAAATTCACCATCAGCTATATCACAGTCAAAATGTAAAACACTAAATATAAAAAATTAAATGAAGATATATATAGAAAAAAAATTACAAATTTGGTCGTTTGGCATAGAAATATTTTATTTTATCTTAAATGTAGAGATTATTTAAAATGGGTTATTATTTGACATAGATATTTTAAAAACTATAAATCATTTGTTTATTATTTTTAATCTAAAATATATTGATATAAGATATTATTTTTAAAATTGGTTAGATGATAAATATTAAATTATTTATCTTTTTGCACTTCTTAAAATTTGTATTTATGATAAAATTGTTTAATATGTATATTCTAATTGTTTAGTGCATACAATTCTTGGCAGATAATAAGAAATATATTACCTACTATATCTTTAAATTGCATTAACTTCTTATTTTTAATTTTTTTGAAAAATTGTTGCTAATTTTTACATAATATGTATTAACTAGTAATGAAAAATTTTAATATTTTCTGACAAATTATAACCCTCTTTTTTAAACACAACAGACGTAAATATAGTATTAGTTTAATATTTTCTAAAAATTTGGTAACATTTACAAAATACTGCACCTTTACTAGTACTGTATTTAAGTAAAGTTAAATTAAGTAAATAAGTAAGTTATTTCTTAAAATATAATGTAAATAAGCAGTGCCATGGGAAATTGAAAAAATTAAGGAATAAATACCATTCATTGATCTTAGACTAGAGGTACAAATTTAAAATGTACCTAGATTTTTATTTACAAAAAAATTCGCTTAAGACCCTCTATCACATAAGATACTGTTTTCTGCGGATCCTTAAATATTTCCTATATTAATTAATGTAAAAACCACCCAATAAGATGTTCAGTTTTTCTATACATAATTGTATAAGATGATTTTTTTTTTTCAGTGGTTGACAATAAATATATATAGTAATTAGGCAACCATAAAACTCATTTACTTGTACTTATCATATTTATAGGTTTATTATTATTTTTATTTTATTCATTATATTATGAAATAATGAGTATTTGTGGTTTGGTGTAATGTAGTTCGCTGGAAAATTTGTATCTGGAATATTATCTAGGCAGTGATTTCTTTGTGGCTGATTCTAGTGGAATAAAATATAAACCACTATCAATTTTGATTAAACTAACTTTTGAATAAATATATTGAAGGGTGTACAGCATTGAACATTTCTTTGCTACAACACACACTCAAAACCTAAAGTAAGCAAAAATAAAATCTTTCTTTATAAGCGAAGGTAATTAACAAAATGTATCTGTTTAATATGTAGGTATTAATATATAATTAATAATAATAATAATAATATGTATTTATGTATTCATGTGTTATCTGTTTAATTATGTTTAATAATGAAAATGAATAATTAAACTCAATTTAACAATTATTTTCAATTCTTGCTTTTTTTGAGCTGGTCCCTTGAAGAGCCTCTTAAATGAGTTTTACTGTACAATATTTATTTTATTTGCTACCGATTTTTATAAGTAGTCTACAATTCAACAAATTATATAATTTGCCTGTAATATAGGTACCCAAAAACACAAATGAAGGCCCAAAAGTTGAACACCATAAGTCTAATTATTCAGATTTTAAATAATTGCAATTGTAATTCATATCAAATTTTACAGCATCTTAAATATTTGGTTCATTGCATTTTTTTTTTTTTGATTTAACATTTGAATCAGGAACCTAGAAAATATTAAAAATGCAATAAGTACTTAATAGTCGTAAATAGAAATGTTACAAACTAAACCAAACCTGGTCTGTTCAATTAAATCTAATTAAATAGATTCAAAATAAAACTATAATTTTTTTAGACTGGTTTAGTTGATGCACATCACTTATAAATCACATACTATGTAAATCTTTTATTTCATCAATATGTTTAAAATTTTTATTGGATATTTTAAGAATAATGTTTAGTAAAATCCTAATACTAAATTTAATGATAGAAGGCATAATAGCCATGAACCATCTAAAACATTACTTACTTAGTTCAGCTATTCAGTCATCACAACTGACATATTTTGTTAATAATATGGTAAGAGTATATGCAAAATATTAATATTATTTTAACAAAATAACATGAACTTCTAATAAATGTATAGTGATGTCACATGCACCATAATTTATAAACAATAATTTTTTTCGAAAAGCGTAAATATTATACATAATTGAATTCAATTATTTTACTGATTTTTCACAATCTTTAATGATTTATTTCATAATATAATATATTAATTTTATATTAATGAATAATTACACTTGGCATTTATTATTATTTTTATTATTTTAAAATACGAAATATACAAGTACCGTCAACTAAACCAGAACTAACTTTTTTTAAGTTTATTATTTGAGGTTTGATAAAGTATTTGAATATTTTGGTTCGATAACAAGTAAAAATTATACCGAGAAATATATTTTCTATTTTAATTTTTAATCAATAGTAATATGTATTATTTAAATATTTCTATTATGATTTATATCTTACTTGATTAAAATTTTGATGTCAGTATCTCATCAGACTTTTTTGATTTTAATTTTAACATACTAAATTAGCAGCGCACATTACTCTTAGAAAAAATTAATAGTTAATAGTGGATATAATAACATATTACCACAATTGTATGGGATATTTTTTAGATTTTTTCTGAAAAGTTAAAATGTTATCTTAATTATATAGGTATCAAGAAATATAATATAAATTACAATAGTATTGCTACAATAATTTATATTAATTTATATAAAATCAAAAATATTAAATAAATAAATACCTACATTTTCTTGATTTTTCACCATTATTGATACTTTCAAATTATCTTTATTACAATAATGCTTTTGGTTTAAAAGAAATAATACATTATAGTACTTGTATAAGCAAAAATTTAGTTTCATCAAGAAGAAAATATTATTGCATATATAAATTATCAATGTAAGTTGAAACAAAATTGTCGGTAGAAAATTTGTGCACAGATAAAGAAAAAAAAACATCTTTGTAAAACTATAAGCTTCTTTGAGAAATTGATATGGTATGGTATGGAAGTCTAACAATTAGTTTGAACATGCTAGAAAACTTTATTTCCATTACCTCTGTAAAAATTAAATGTTCATCATTATAGTAGCTACTTAATTAAATATTAGACTAGTCATCTAACCCTAAAGAGACTTAAAACAGAACTTAGACCATTTCTTATGGAAGAATGATGTGTTGTGCTCCATTAATTATCTGGATAAATATACAATTAATAAACCTTATAAGGAAATGCATTTCACCAATTTTAGATATCTATTGATTAATACTTTCATTACAACGGTGATTCATTTTTTTTAAATTAGGCGTTGGTCTAGTGTTTGGATTTTTAATAAGATATAATGTTCGGGATCCCCATTAAACATTTGGTGGAGTGTTGAGAAAATTTCTCAACATACAATAAATATACACAAAAATAAATTGAATCTTATATTAACTTCATTGTATATTATATAGTAAAACCTGAACAAAAATTACACATAATATTTTGTTCTCTATATATATAATAATATATTATTAAATAGCAATAATATTTTAATAAAAACATTTTCTAAAGAATAAATTAAATAATATGTTTAATATGTTATTGTTGCAGTAGGTTAAATATTAATACAAAAACAAAAATATAATAGTTTCTTTTTACTTTAGATAATCAAGAAATTTGTGAATTATTTAAAATGAAGTCATTCAATGCATGACAAATAACAGTAATCTAGTTTTTTTAATTTTAATCACAGTTATAACTAAACAAAGAAATATAAAGTACCTATAAAATTGACATACAAAGTTGCCAATTTACCTTTTTACCAAGTTACCTTTTTAAGATCCAGGTAAAAATTGGGTCATTCTGATTAAATTCAGATTTTTTTAAATTAATACTTTATCAAATTGTATTGAATAAATTTAAATTTAAATATTATTTTGTTATTAATTATTTAGGTTTTTAGCAAATATCTAATTTTTATATTTTATAGTAAATAAATTTCAAAATAAATACATAAGTAAAATGTAGCTACGTATAATATTAAAATATTAATATAATACTACAATTTATAGATTCTTAATAATTTTATTTTCAGTTAAATTTGTTATATTAAATAATATTTATTGATGAACAATTTGGTTTCAATATTATGTTTGTTTAATATCTTAATTGTATTTATTATATTGTTAAGAAATGTTATTTATTACAGTAAAACTTCCAAATAATAGTCACCACCAAAGGGACCAGAAATAATGACCGATATTAGAGGTTTCTTATAGAGGTAAAGTAAGCACTTAACAGAACCAAAAAAAATAACTGTTACACAGATGTTAACGGAAATTATACTGTATAATTATGAATGTTTTATCTGTATGCAGTTACATCCACAGAATATTGCAATTATATAATACTAATACTAATAAGTGACAATAAACATATTTTATTCTCCCGGTCATTTAAAAAATAATAAAATTGAATTACTAAAATTATATTGATAATAAAATAATATCATTAAAATTATTAGATAGTCCAATATTGGAACAATGTTGTACATTAGGTTATAGAATTATAAAATTGGATTCAAATTATTGTGATATTGAAAATATTTATTCTTTTTTTTTTTTTTTAAATCAATAATATTTAATGAGCTTTATAATAATTTATTTCAATACAATGACAAAATAATAAATACATAATACTATGATAATTATTTTTAACTAAGTTTTGACCAAACACAAATAAAATAATATACATTTTAATTTTTAAAAAAGATATAGAGATAAATAATATCTTTAGTATATAGTTATAATAAATACAAATGTTTTTATTAAGTATTTTCTTATGTTTAATATAATATAAAAAGGTTAATTTACCACATTTATACTAAAACCTAAATAGTTGTACTTTATCTATTAAAAATCAAAACTAAACACACAAGCTATTTATTTATTCAAATAGATAAAATAATTTATTTCATTAAAATGACAAAATAATAAATACATAATAGTATGCTAATTAATTTTAACTAAGTTTTAGACCAAACACAAATAAAATAATATACATTTTAATTTTTAAAAAAGATATAAAGATAAGTAATATCTTTAGTATATAGTTATAATAAATACAAATGTTTTTGTTAAGTATTTTCTTATGTTTAATATAATATAAAAAGGTTAATTTACCACATTTATACTAAAACCTAAATAGTTGTACTTTATTAAAAATCAAAACTAAACACACAAGCTNCTAATTAATTTTAACTAAGTTTTAGACCAAACACAAATAAAATAATATACATTTTAATTTTTAAAAAAGATATAGAGATAAGTAATATCTTAAGTAATATATAGTAATAATTTATTTGTAGGTATAAACTACTATGTACAATTATATATAAATGGTGTGTGTTTTATTTATCTCGCTATTTTATTTCATTCTATTTGTGTAGTCATTATTTTTCCTGCATTATATTAGCTTAATTTAATTATATAAAATAGGTATCTATTAATTAAAACATCTGAAATATTTTTAGTTACATAACTAATCCTTAGTGGTGTAGGGGTGCCAAACGACAACATGATAATGTCATATTGTAATGAAATAAAATTGCTACTGTTTTAAAACTAGTAATTTACTTTGTACAAAATTAAAAATATATTACATAGTTTTAACTTTATTCTGTCTTCTTTGTTTGGTTATTTAACAACTGTGCCCATGGATCTTCCAACATTGATGGATGAAAAAAATGTTCACCGTTGTTTTTATTATTCAAATTTGGATTGTTCTAAAATAATAAATAGACATTCAATTTTATATATACAAAATCAATATAATACTATTTTTGAATAGTTTAATTTTAAAAGAAACAAAGCTAAGACTTAAACCATTTTTCACGAGAGAAAGATAGTGTTTTGCGCACGCAGATTGAGCTACGAATCACTGGCAGATTACACCTGGTATAATGGGAATGCGTAAGAATGACTGGTTTCCGTAGACTCTCTACCGTTCTTTCGTGAAAAATAGTATAGGTTTATGGCATATAGTTATTAAATAACATACATAATTACAATACCAATAATATGATAAAATCCAGTCTAATGAAAATGTCTAGCTTTGCTTATGTACCAGTGGTTAAAAAAAATGTATTAAATAACAAATTATTTATTTAATAAATATATAACTTACATAGTGATTTTGTTTTTTGAATTTATTGAAATCTGGAGAAAACTCATGAGAACCACTTGCTTCCTGTTGTGTACCGGAACTATTTAGCTATTGAAAAACCAATTTGTTACTATTAATTACTGTGTATTTTAATATAATGAAAATAAATTATTAATTAATTACGTCTGAACTGCAACTATTATTGGTGTTATGTGATTTCCATTGGTATGGTGAACCTTTAGAGCGTGCATACAATTTTTTTTGCCCGACAAAATTGTGTTGTGGGGTAGTGTCGTATACCACTAATGTATTTAACAAGTTATCTGTTGAACTTGTGCTATCCTGTTGGAACAATCTGTCCAAATTTTTCTGTATGTTGACTGGAGTAGAAGTAGTGGCAGATGTATTTCTGGATTTGATTAATGGTGATTTATACGATGAGCTTTTAAGTTGAGACGGAGATTCTAAATTTTGAGATGTGTTGACTGGAGTAGAAGAAGCAGGTATAATTCTAGGTTTGAATAATGGCGATTTATATTTTGAACTCATTTTATCACAATGTTTAAACTTAACTTTTAAAATAAGCACAGGTAAATAAATATTATAAAAGAATGTTTACGAGAATTATGAAAAGGTATAGAAAAATTAAATATACAATTTTTAATGAATTCAACTAGAGAACTGAGACATCAAACAATTTAAATTTTGTTTATATCTTATCTTCATGATATAATAAATCTCCATGATTTTAGGTTTTAACCATAGGATTTTAGGTTATAGGTTATTATGGTTATGGTCCTAACCACAACTGTTTATTAATGATAATAATATAATAGATTCACCATCACGTAACGTCACAGATACATGAGGGGGTTAAAGTCATAATGGTTTAAGTCACATTAATTTTAATATTTAAAATTAACAAAACTTTCTTTTCATTTCCATATTTTAATTCATGATTTATATAGATAAATGTATAAAAAAAATATTGAGCTGCAATCTAGTTGTAGTGATTGTTATGACATAATTCACTTAACCTATCGAACAAATGGACTTTTAAAAGACGTGTACACTGTACAGCACTTAAGTCAATTTTAACAAAAACTTATATAGTTGATGTATTGGATAGGTCATTATTGATTTTCCAATGGGTTTTCGAAATAATTAGAAAAAACCCAAAATAAAATTATAGGTAAAACGGCAAATATTTACAGTGCGCCGCGATGCTACCGATTTCGTTATTTAAAATTTTTACGACTCATGTTTTCTATCACGAACATAAAAATAGAAAAATGACGAGAAACCTTTTTTATTGAATTTTTAATCAAGTTCGTTGGCAAGTAATTTTTTTTATTTTGTTGGTAATTTTTGTAATTATTGAGAAAAACTGAAAAATATGTAGAAAAAACGGAAAAATGCACGAAAATAATTTTGTTACCGTATGAAACTTTGACAGGGAACTTAAATTCGTTTTTTCTAGACGTGGTCAAATTTTTAAAATATTTAGGCTATTTTTGAGCTAGTTACAAACATTTGAATTTTGCGGGTCTTTTACGTAATTTTTATTTGATAAATGGTAGGTACTCTGTAGATAAAATTGTTAGACTTGACAGAATGTTTGAAAATTTGACTGGGGATTCATTAAAAAAACGTACTTAGTGGTCCTCTCTTTGAAGAGAAAATTTTTTTTTTTTAATTTTCCCAGAGTAAATTAGAAAAACCCGGATAAAACGTAGGAAAAACGGGAAATGTACGCAATGTATTATTTTCAAATCGTAAATATTACCTACGGCCTTTCAAACATTGTACAACTGTACTTCGCTCCAAATCGTTTTTCGTTAATAACGGTTTATCGTTGGTTGCAGGTATAATAAATATCTTTATGTATCCTACGGTCCCGGCTACTCACCTACAACAACGGCAGCGCCCGTCTCCGGTATCAGCTCTTTTTTAAAATATTATAATCTTTTATAGGTAAACAAGTATCGTGAAACTTATTTACAGTACTTTTGTTCCGACGGACTTTGTTCCTCATTTCACCATTTCTTCCGCGAAAATGTCTTCTAATGGACATTGGTTCTGAATAAAACGTGGAAAAAGTGTGTTTTGGAACAAATGGTCATTGGAACAAATGATTTTGGAAGAAGTGGTCGTGGCAACAAAAGATTTTTTAACAAATATTCACTAACCAAAAAATATTTGTTATACAATATATTTCTACCACAAGCAATTTGTTCCATAAACATTGGATTCAACAGACCCATGTTCAGAAAATATTTCTTCCAATGCACTTTTGTTCCATAATATCTACTTAACACTATGATTATTAATGATCGTGGACATGGTTATATTATGGTTATAATATCCTAAAATCATTAATAAATTTTAATTTATACAAATATTGTGGTTAGAGATATAGACACTTCTGTTGAAAAGTGTTTTTAAGACTTCATGTCTTGTTTTTTTTTTAAAAAATTATTTTTTTAAATTATTCAAATATTAATAATAATAATAATCTCAATAATTTAGATTACAGTAAAACCATTTGATTCTTCCTTATACTCAGATTCTGAAAAATAGATTAAGTTAGTAGCGGTTCTAACATTAAATTTTTGAGGCAACAACTTTGTACTATTTCGAAAACGTTTTTAAAATGTCTTAACAGCCACTTCTGGTTTTTGAAATAATATATTAAATATATTTTGAAAATTATTTAAAATACATTATTTTCAATTCAGTTCCTAATACTCCTTCGTTTTATTTAAAACACATTTTTTGTCTTTTAAAATTAGTCAGAGAACTGCTTCATTTTCACTATTTATCATAATTAAGTAATTATTTAAGTTAAGTTACGTATAATATTAAATTACGATTTTGGACTACTATTTGCTGATATATAATATATAATATATATACAATCCACATCTAAAATTTAAACAAAACTGAAACACATAAATCTATAAAGTGTTTTTCTAGTTTTAAGTTACAAATAATTTAATATTCACACATGTATGTGAAAGGAAAATTATCATGAAAAAAAAAATAAATTCAAATAAATAAATAAATGCAAGAATTAAAATAATAAAAATAACGACTTTTGGTTTCCAAATGGACTATATTGAATAATCAGTAATACAGTAACATAAAAAGGATAATTTTAAAAGCTAACAAAAACAGTTAACAGAAGTTGTATATGAGAAAAATATATTGTATTAATGTTATACCGGTCATCACACAGAAAACAGAATTATTCGATAATCATTAACCAATGGTTGTAGAATGTTGACATACAATCGCGATAACGACTTATTAAGCGATAACACGGTCAGCCGTTCAGCTAGCTACGTTACCATGTTGTCGGCCGACGAAGGCGACGGTTTAGCAATGGGCGCCAGTCACTCCATAGCATCTTCCGTACCTCCTAAACAAAAATTTAACATACATTTCGTTTATTTCCCTTTCATAACCTTTCTCATAAATTATTTGCCAAGTGGTTTGAAATCGTAAATTGTGCGCGATCCCCTGTAAATAATCATTGGTGTCACAATGCAGCAAACTTCCCCCTTTCGTCCCGTCACCTCACAAGAGAACACGCACACACACACACACACACACACACACACACAAAAGAGAATTTCGCCAGTAAAGTACCGAAATTGAAAATTGAAAACTCGATTGACTCACTCGTTCAAAAACTATATCATCGGCGTAAATACCAATAGGTGTACAGTGGGTCAAAAAAGTCTCCGTACACTGATGTTAGATTTTTTCCATTACACATAGGGATAGTTAAAAAGTTGAATAGCTTTATAATTTTTACGACAATTTATTAGGAAACACATGAAAATTATGTTTTTAGAAAAATAAAGCATACATATTAATTATTTATAAATGAATGTAGAAAAATAACAACAAAAAAGTTTCCGTACAATATATTTTTAACTTAATACAATATAATAATTATTATCACTTTATTAAAATTAATGGTCAGTTAGTCCTCCTTTAGCTTTAATTACTTAGTGCATTCGCTTTTCCATTGATTCAACTAATTTTATTGTAACAGTAGGGTCAATACTGTTCCATATTTCAAGTATTGCATTTTTAAATTGATCTTTGTTTCGAGTTTGATAATTTTTTAGACATTTACCTATTCCATCCCATAAATGTTCTATCGGATTCATGTCTGGTGCTTGTGGAAGTGTGTTAAGTTGCTTTATCACTCGGTACAACATATAGCAATATTTCTGAAAGAATTCCCATCTTCTCTTAGTTGAACTACTACTTTACGAACAACAATCGGTATTTCCATTGTTAATTGTAAATAAATTAATAAAACGTACAGTATGACTGATGGCTAGGTACCTACTGTCACGCTCATCTTGCTCACCGGGTTTTATCGTCAGATTATATTGCCAGATCATATTATTGTCTTAATTTATGATAGAACTCTCAATATCACGAGTTTTTCCCATCTCAACAATATTTTTTGTCTAATATTCATATTATGTACGGAAACTTATTTGTTGTTATTTTTCTATATTTATTTATAAATATACACGTAAATAATAAAATAATTAATATACATGCTTTATTTTTCTAAAAACATAATTTTAATGTGTTTCCTAATAAATTTTCGTAAAAAATATATAGTTATTCAAATTTTTAATTATCATTATGTGTAATGGAAAAAACCTAACATCAGTGAACGGAGACTTTTTGACCCGCTGTATATACCCGTCGGTGTTTTGTTTTTACGATCGGCGTAATTACATGGAACCCAATTTTCAGATACACAAATGTTTGCGGAACGTTGGAACAAATATTTTGTGACTAGTGAAAATGTCTTCCAAAAACATTTATTCCAACACACTTATGTTTCACAAATGTATCTTTCAATGGACTTTTGTTCCGCGATACTTTTAACCACAAAACATAATATGGAACAAACGTTTTATGGAATAAATAGTCAATGGACAAATGATTTTGGATAAAATGTTTGTTGGACTAAATGTTGATATTGAAAAATGGTTTGTGGCACAAATATACTGTAGAACAAATATTTTAACATTTCTTTCATAATCATTTGTTTCACAAAATACTTCCATATATTTTGTGGAACAAACATAAATTCTCGTGAAAAAAGCCATTGTTGAGCAATGGTCAAAAGCAATACTATTGACCAAGCTCTGCTCAGAATTGTTGTTCGTTGGGTACAGATATACATTAAATTTCCCCTCTATCACCCCAACTTCTCATCTACAACAGTGGCGACCCACGTCCGTCCCAAGTATATCCGTCTTCTTTTTTTTGGGGTTTATTAGAAACTTTTCAACCAGACATCTTGCTCCAATGCATCAAATGTTGTATCTTTTTTTTTTGAAAGGAAATTGTATGTAGTTAGTGCATTGAGGGGTTCGTTTTTGATTTTCCAAAGGGTTTTCAAAATAATTTGGAAAAAACGGAATCAAAATTATAGGCAATATGGCGGGAGCGTCAACTTTATTACTTGTAATTTGTGCCAAAAAATAAAAAAATAAACGTGTATTTTGCGTCACATCTAAAAATGTATTTAGATGATTTGCGTCACGACAGAAAACGAAATGGAATATGTAATCTGCGCCACACTTTTAACTTTACCAGCTGATAAAATATTTACAGTTGCACTATAATACCTACGCGTTTCTTATACATAATTGGTTTACGCAATCATTATATACCACTTTATTTGTTTTACTTTCAGACAAAAAAACCTCAACCTATGTGAATTTATTTAAAAATATCATAAATCTGTGTAATGCACGTGAACTTGATCTAAAACCAAATTTTTCACATCTGATTTTGAAGAAGCAATTCATGTAGCATTGAGACAAGTGTGGGACGACAATAAAATATTCGGTTGTAGATTTCATCGAACTCAATCGTGGTATGGAAAGATTCAAGAACTTGGCTTATCCAGTATATATAAAAATAATAAGACAGAAGGGAGCAAGTGGGTAAACCATACATTTGGATTGCCATTTCTTTCTTCAAATGAAATCAGTGGCTGTTTTATTAAAGACTTTATGTCACCGATTCTTAATGACATTAGTTTTCAAAAATATGAGGATTATTTAACTAACACATATATCAGTGAATAGGCGTTTTGTGACAAACCGAAATATTTTATAGTGAGCGGCGCAAATTACAATTTGGATAAGATGAAAAATGGCGCAAATTACAATTTTTGAAGATAGAAGATAGCTCAAATTACACAATTCCCTTTTACTTAGTCTTAAGGGGCGCAAATTACACAACATTTTTTTTTGTGGGTTGTTTTTAGCGCAAATTACATACGCCCAAAACGGCAAATAATTACGGCGCACCGCGGCGTTACCGATTTCATTGTATTTAATTTTTGTAAACTATGTTTTCTATTAAACATATTTCCTCAATCAAAAAATACCACGAGGCTTTTTATGTTTCATTTTGGATCGAGTTGCTCACGAAGTAATTTGTTTTTGATTATAGTTTTATTGTCAGCCATGGTTGACAGATGTTGTTTACAGATATAAATTAAATAACTGGATGATATATCCTAGCTTCTCAGGTTTTCAGCTAAAACTATGGTACACCCGTTTCTCTGAATCAGCTTTTTAAAAAAAAAAAAAAAAAATTCATTTTACTCATTTCGGATAATATGTTTACATACACGCATCCGGTGGCTCGCTCGTGTCGCGTTCCATCGGAATAGAAAATAAAACCACGCAATATTCGTAAATTCGGTATATTATTTTAATATATATATATATATATTTATATTATATTTTCCAACTGACAACATTGTTAACAACATCACACTATAATATACCAAAGAAGTTTACGAAGATAATATCAATGCAAATATTGTGACCGACCACACGGACGAACCGTGCCTTTGACGTTATAATACAGGTATATAGGTCAAGGAAAAGAAAAAAAACCTTTTTCAAATTTTTTTGTTTCTATAAAAGTACATAATATTTTGGTAGTTTATTAACACGAAAATGTATAATTCGTTCACGATATAATATTATTCATAATACAAATAATCTTTAAGTATAATAATATATTTATATATAAGTACAAAAAAAAAAAAAATATATAAAAATACACGTTTAAAAAAAATGTTTGTTAATATATTGTATATTATATAATTATGTGAAATTAAAAAACGGACAATATATATAAAAAAAAAAAAACACAAAAACCGTAAAATAAAAAAAAAGCACTGTAACTTGACTGAGTCAAGTATGTCTTGCAATATTAATACACGGCAATAATGATAATAATACTATTACGTACCCACCGTTGTACAATAATATGTAAATAACCCGTTACCGTTACGTATACCTATATAGACGATTCCGTCTTAATATGTTAATCATGCGTAATAATAATGTAATATGTGTATACATACATACATAGACGGAACGAAAAACAAAAAAAAAAAAAAAAAAAAAAACCTTAATTATCCTATAGGTAGGTAGTATTATAATACACGCCGAGAAAAAAATAAAAAATATAATACACAATGCGATACGCAGACTATGATAAATCGTTATATTATTATCTTACGGGTATAGAAAAAAAAAAAAAGCTTATATATATATACACATATAGAATAGCGTAATATAATAATATACGAATTATAATATCGTACATACATTACGGATAACAATAATTGTTATTGTAATCGCATAGCGCGGATGCCAGTTGAAATATTTCTGAAATAAAAAAAAAAAAAAAAATAAGCAAAAACCCGTTGGTTGGTTATATTCGGGTGTATTATAATGATATACATTATTGTATTATTGTGTCGTCGCGGATAATGTTATTAGACACCCGATCAGGACGGAATCCCGACACTCGATATTCGTGTTTACGGTAAAATAACCGTCCGACTCAGCTTATGAGTTTTGTAAATTTTCAAAGTCCGGATAGGCGGGACAGCGTTTTAGCCGAATATTGTCATTGCAGAGGCATGGTTTATAATTATATATATATATTTTTTTTCAACACGCAACACTATAAAAGCTCAAATTGATCCGGACTGTTCACACTCGATTTTTATCGGGGGCAGGCGTACGACGGTGCTTAGTGTGGTACGTTTTTATTGCCGTTTCGGTGAGGCAAGTCTATTTGCAAAACCCTAATACAGCATATTAGAGTGTTTCTATCGTCAGATGCGTGCTGTATAGAAAAAATAAAAATAAAAATACTTTGAAAGTCTTGCGAGTGATTCCTGAAAGTTCGATCGGGTTCGGTCGTAGCGCCGCTTGGTTTTCGGTTAGTACAGAGGGAGGATCCATTTGGCCGTTTTAGCGCGAATCACAACGGTTTTCTCGGAGGATTTTATCAAGTGAATTTGATCTGGGTATGTTAATTTTATTTTTATGTTTTTTTTTTCAATCATTACATGCGGAATTAGGAATCCGTTTTAGACGCGGATTCGAGTAGATATCGATTTTAAGTATACGTCGAAAATCCAAAATCGAACGGAAAAAAACCGCAACGTTAAACGATCCCGCGGAAGATTCCCGTACGTTATGAACTGCGAAATCGGTCGACATCCGGAGCCGGGAAACGCCCGGGAAAACCGCCGGTCCGCGATTGACGGGAGTGAGCCCGGAGTGAGGGCGAGACGGAGCATCTGCCACCCCCACGGACTGCGACATTTCAAATATAATTTTATTTCAAGTACTATTTTTTTGGTGGTCGATTTCGTTCGAGAGACCTAACCCGACCTTCCTGGAATTTCGTTTCCCACTCGGATTCAACGCCGGCCCTCCGTGGTAAATTTCCAGCGGGAGCCCAGCCCCGGGCGCACCCTCGGAGTTTTACCCGCTTTAACCGACGCCTGTGCGTTTCGCTCGTCGTCGTCGCCAAAAGTATGTCGCTCGGTACGACAACGGTATATTGTCGGGTGTAGGTACGCGCGTTTTCCCGCGTGCACGCGCCGACGGCAACAATAATAATACCCACGTAATAACATGACGTGTGCGCGCGCGTACACGTACGTATAATGTTACCGGGTCTTTGTACAGTATTGCAGTAATACGTACCTGTATACATACGTGAGACGGTAATGGTAGAGAAAAAAAAAAAAATTATAAAACAATATGAAAATATTAAAAACGATCGCGGGACCGCACCTCGGCGGCGGCGTGCCGATACCCGTCGTATGGTCTCGTCCGCGGAAGAAATGAAAAAAAAAACAACAACCGACAATCATATGACACTCTATTATTATACGCTGACGATATTGCAATAACAATTATTACGCGCGTATAGACCGGTGTAGTATTACAATACGTACCGCGCGCCTCGGCCGGTTGCCGTTATGACGGATGTGGAAAAACAGAAAAAATAACGACGCGAAAAAACAAATCGTGTGTCGGGCGCGTTTTGGCGAGCCGATTTTTCGCGGGAAACCGTCGGCCAAAGAGATCCGGACGGACGGGCCGCGTCCCGGTAGGGTACCTGTGTTATCGGTGTTGCGACGAGGGGCGGGCGCGGGATAGTTATTCCGAGACCGGATCGTAAATCGCGGCGTTTTATCGGTAATACTACGGCGACGAGCGACAACAATTTAATCGCGAACGGTTGATCACTTTGATGCTATTATCGGCTCGCCGAAACACGTCCGTGGACAGTTGAGACGCGGATAGGCCACTCCTGTAACGATGTTGCGAGCGAGCTGATGTTCCCGGAGGGGCGGTAAACCGAGGCGATTTATCATTCGTCGCGCTATTCGTAGCTAAAACCAAGGTTTGTAGATTACAAGCAACGAGATGTGACGCCTCACTTTGCGCGTAACTCGGAGTGACAACACTGTACCCGGTCCCCGCTCTTGCGGGAGACTGCGGACGAGGGTATGGACAACCTATCCGTATCTTTATCGTCTACGTCCGTAATACACCGCGGATTTTATTGCCGGCTGTTTGGGGATCGGTAACGTGCGACCCGTACTGCCGTGAACGCACGGAATCTCTCAACGTTTCGCCGTGCGCCGGTGCTTGCGTAATGACGCCGGCCAGGGGCCGCGCCTTAAAAATACTGATAATATATTTTTTTAAAAAAAAAAATAATAATAATAATAAAACAATAATCGTATACTGTAATATTTTACGTATTATAATAATTATAATAATAATAATAATAATAATAAATGTACATTGGCAATAATGGTTTATAATATGTACAAAAAAAAAAAAAAAAAACATGTTCACAGAACGTACGAAATTAGACAATATATCATTGATATATGGGACCGAAAACAACCGCCCGAAAACGGCCGCGGCCCGCAACAAACGCGGGGCCGCGGCGAATGGGCGGTTTTAAAATAATAATAAAAAAAAAAAAAGTACGAAAAAACGGCGCCGAAGCGCCGTTTCCCCCCCCCCCTTCCCCCCTCCCCACCGCCGGTCGACGAGCGGTCGTACAGCCCGTTCGACGACGGAAAACCGCCGCGTCCCGCGTGAAACACCGGAATCGACCGCGGCGGGTTCGCCGTCGTCGGACCGGCCGGCTCGGATCGGTCGCCGCGGAGGACCACCACCGGGGGGATGTACCGGGCACACCGCGGACAGCACACCGCCCAGCGCCAGAACGCACGCGGACCGCTGCGTTTCCACAACGGCCGGCGAGACGTGCGGCGAGAGACGCGGCGGCGGCGCTCGCGAAAATTACCTTCCGCGTTCATCGCTTCCGTGTGAGGAGCGGCACCGCGTCCGCCGCCGCCTACGGGACGTTCGACCGCGGCGGCGTGTCGCGTAACCCACGTGTTATTACACGATAACATTATTATTTGTTATTCTCATCACTTACATTATAATATGCGTGCATGCGTATACACGCGCACGAGCGCCGTACAGCACTGTACCGCACTCGTGCGTACTACTAAACTTACAAAATTACCGTCACCGTGCCCTAAACCTATACGGTGGGTACATCATGATCGGGGCCGTTTAAAATCACCGCGTTACACGCGCGCTCTACAGCCCCGGCCATAATGCCCCGTGATTCCGCGCGGCGCGCGATTACGCGTTGTACGGCGGACAAAACTGGTAGACCAGTCGCTGCGACCGTATCGTCTTCCGCATTATGCCCTTTTTGTAGTACTGCCGCAGACTCCGGGACAGCTTGTCGTAGTTCATGAGCGGACGGTTCTTTCGGCGGCCCCACAGACGGGCCACCGCCTGGCTGTCTTCGATTTTGAACACGCCCTCTTTGCGGTCCAGCCACCGGATCATCTGTTGCTGTTGATTGCTGACCGCCGCGGCCGTACTCGGCACCGCGGCCGCCGTAGACGGCGAGTATTCCGCGGTGGACGTTGTGGACGTGGCCGGAGACGACGGCGCGCTGTTGTGGCCGATGTCGTCGACCTGCATCTGCACCGACGCTGTTTGCTCCGCGGCCGCCGCGGCCGCCGCAGCCGACGATTCCATCAACAGCTCTTTGAGGAACTGCCACAGGTGGATGTGCTGTGACGACGATGACGTCGTGGGGGTAGTGGCGGCGTTGGTCACGGTGTTGGTCGTGGTCGTGGTAGACGCGATCGCCACTGTGTTTACCGCGCGTGCCGCGGCGGACGTCTTGATCGCCACCGTAGTCGAACTGGCCGGCTGATCAGAATCCGAATCCTGAAAATTGGAAAAAAAAAATAAAAAATGATAATTGAATAAAATGAAAACAAAATGTGACGTAATGCGCCCGGATGTGCGAAACGGCTTAAATGTGGCGCGACTAATATTAATTATGTATAACAGACAGCGTGAGCTTTCATAATTTGTTCTGGTAGTTACATACCAAAAACCACGTGAACCGATACGGTTTCGTAACACGTTACGTATAGCATACCATGATTATTATTCCGAATAAAACCTATGACGTCAACGTACTTAACAAGAAATTTGCGATACGTGAAATATACGAAACGATTTATATAATCATACACATGAGATAATAAAATAATTAAAACGCACGTACGGAGTGTAGCATTATATTAATTATACGGTTGTGAAACATGGACGTTAAAGAAAAAAAAAAAAAAAAACGAACATATTTTAGAGGCTTTAGAAATGTGGCGCCGGAGAGAAATAGAAAAAAATAAAACGGACGGAAATGAAGACAAACCGAGAAGTGTTCGAGTTATCAATAAAAGAGAGCTGAAGAACTTCGCTGTACAGTATAATATCAAGGCCGTGGCGTATGATTGGTCACATACGCTGAGGCACAACGAGGAACTCGCCATCGCACCAAACTAGAAAGTACGAGAGAAGAAAAGCGTGGACGCGGAAGGCCAAGAACATGCCGTAGAAATCAATGTTAATCAAAGATGCAGCAGTCGATTCGTACAGACCACTCGAAGCCCAAAGCATATTACGCATACGAATCACGGAGAGAACATTTTATCGTGAACCAACCTACGGATTGAAACTTTGAACAAATATAATAAAACTATGACGTTTCGTGCATTTTTAAGTAAACTGCATCCGCACGAGAAGTTTATTAAAATATAGTATTGATAATAGTATTCGTAGGTAATACGTAATTGTACGTAATTGTATACAATTGCGATTTTTTTTTTTTTTACGTCAAGCGCTCATACGCTGTTTTCCGTTTGAATAGTCGCAATCATAAATCGCCCTTTATATTTCACAAGGATATTTTCCAATTGCGCATAATACACGGTGTGTGCGTAATATGGGTTTGAAGTGACGTGTTTTTAAGGACAGCCTCGTGAATGCCGGGTGTTATTATTGTGGACGGCTGCCAATAGATTGTAATATGCGCATTTTTAATATTATTAATCCGCAGTCTATTTAATAACGTATAGATATTATTGTTCGTGTGACATTGCCTCCCCTCACAGTGATTAAATTTCTGTGATACAGGTAAATACCAATACCTTGGCCAACGCAGTGGCAGCCCGTGAATCGTGCGAGTGGTAAGACGAATATTTTTAAAACAACTCAAGGTGAGCCGGTGTCTATATACTACACGAGGAGACAAATTTATCGGAAATAGAAAACGACGAGGTGCTGTCACCATTAGTCGTTCGATATTTTTCGTAGGTGTTGGCTATCGAACATTATTTTAGAAATTATGTTAAATACAAGAAATGGAGAAAACTACGCGCGATATCTTGAATTGTTTGAAGGGTTCGCGTGTAGGCAATCAACACGAAAATTTTTGAAAAATTGAATTTTATCAACCCGAAACTATCATCGAGTTCACTTTCAAATAAACGTGTACCTATGAGAAAATCCGTGCCGTTATTAACACGAGTATTTTGTATATATATAATCATGCGATGCAATTCAAATGTTTTCGGAATAACCGTACAGGCTGGACGTGTTTTCTCTTTCCGTATTCGTATAGGTACTATTTTTATAGCAGTAATTTGATCAAAATTACAGAACGCATAATATATTGGAACTTAATCTGTATCGTAGCGTGACGTTAATGACACTATCCAATGTATTTTGTTAAATAAATAAAAAACCTAAAAAAATTCAATAGTTTACAGACAGATAACGCGCAGCGTAGCAATTTAGACAAACGATATGTTTATCAAACTGATCGATAAAGCGAGTGATAATAATATTCTGAAAGCATATTTTCAATTTAGCGTGAAATATTTGAGAAATAGGTCAGACCATTTTTTTCAATTCTGAGCGAGGAATGTATTGGTTTTAAAATGATTATTTTTTTTTTCTACGAACAACTTTTCTACCAAAAAGTGTCGGAAAACGCCCGGCGATAAAATAATACATAAAACGCGAGAAATGTTCTACCGTGCAAAACAGTTATTAGTTATTACAATCGAATTACAGGCATAGGTAATAAAGAAATGGATGTGCGATTGTAGCTTACCACACAGTAAGTTTTAACATTGTATCCAGTCCTAAAATTAGTCAGGGTATATTATCCTGACGCAAAGTGTGATATACTTTGAAACTCAATAGAATGTACAGATGTGTGCACCGACATTTAAAATCTTTTTAGGCACATATTTTAAACGCTATAATATGATATCCCGAAATGCTAGAAAGAGAAAAATAGCGTGAACAAGATGGCATGACTTTTCGAATACCCTAGACTTTTAGAGAGAAAAATGGTACGAAAAGAAAAAACAATATCACCTACTTATCCCATAAATACTGAAAATATAGACGCGTCCCGTTCATTTCTTTATAATCATATTGATTACGGGTGGTACTAAACCGTCTAATTAAACTACGGTAGCGTGTAATCGACCGAATCGCGTTATCGACGTGTAAAATATTCAAAATTCGGTTTCGATGGTCGCTACGAGTGTGTACGTTGAGCCGCGCCCAGCGAGATGCGTGAGAAATGGAGAGATTGGAAAAAGAAATGCTAACCCAGCGCTCTCCTCAGTCCTGGATACCACATTATAAAATAATAATAACAATAACAAAAAGGCGGATCACGGGGACGCCCAAAGCCATTTTAATATATTTTAATATAAATTACAATAGTAATTTAAATCAACTGTTTGAATTTGAATTTTAAAAACCTAATAATATCTTAGGTATTCATTGATCGACAAATCTCCATGGTACGTATAATAAAACTTTTTTACTATCGCCGTAACGGTTAGCATAATACATCGAGACGTATAATTTGTTATATTAATTGCTAATACGTTTATAAAATTATAATTTAAATAGTTTATCTTCTTTTTGTTTAATACGAGTTTTATCTTTATTTTCATTTTAACAGTTTATCAATTAATTAAGTTGGTTTATCTTTATTAATAACATCGGTATATTAATTTTTTAAATAACGACAACAAATTAGTCATTTGTTTTAAATAAATTTACCGAGCTAGATGTGATCTGTATTGATTTATTTATGTTTAAGAAAACGTTACACATACATTTGTTGTTTCTGTCTCACAAACACAAGATTTAGTAAAAATATGCGCACGCAGACTACACATAACTCGATTAGTTTTGGTTTTAGAGTAAAAGCATCTATTATGAAATTCATAGAGAACATATTTCCGGAGGGCAAAACGTTGCGTTTATTTTTTTATTTTAAGTTTTAGCTAACTAAAAAAAACGTTGAAAAAGTCGTTATTTATAAGCGGTAAATTGACTGTTATAATCCGGAGAAAATGGTAAAACAGCAACGTTTTTCTCTCCGGAGTATTATTCATTTTTTATTCCATAATAGGTGTTTTTACTCTAAAAACCAACATCAAACGAGTTCTGCGTAGTCAATCTGCATACATAAGTATGTTTTAACTGAATCTTGCGTTTGTAAGACGGAAACAATATTATTAATGGACGTCCTCTTACGCTTTGACGTGTATCTGAGGCGGAATTGTTTTTACTAAAAAGTGTTTTTATTTAATTGAATTTTTTTTTTTTAGGCCTTGAACCGAAGTACAATATGTCAACATTTTAATATTCGTTATAATACAGTATTGAAAATACCAATACCACAATATTGGGTACGAATGTGTATAAAAAAAAAAAAAAAAAATTATAAACAATGTTTTTGGCAGTGGCGTACCTATAGAGTAGCATGACGGGCAATGAGCTACGGGCCCATGCCATTTAGGAGCCCCAAATCAAAGCCCAAAACATTATTTTTCAGTGAATGAATAGACAGGTGAACAAAATAACAGACGATGACCATTGTTTTGCTTGCTAAGTAACATGAGTGGACAGACAGATGTATGAAAATAGACTCAAAACTGTGTAAATTGGGACCCAACTCGAATATAGTGGCACTTGGCCAGGGCTAGCAACTATTGATTTTAACTTTTTTATAATTTCCGTCATACACTCTCCCACATTGTTTCGCCCCTGCGCACTTGGCCCATAATTTGGTTAATCTACAATGTTTTGCCACGGGCATTAGAAGTTGTTGTTACGCCACTGATTGTCGGTATTATATGTTTGAAAATCAATATATATATATAGTGAATACTGAATCATACGATAAAATGTGTCGCGGAGCAAAAAATGGTATTCATACAAAAATTCGGTTTTACGTTATTATTATAGTTATCGTGTACACCGTCGTCGATCGCGTCCGCGTGAACGCGCGACTTTTTTATTTTATCGATTTGTTTTTTTCCGTACGAATCTCGGCACCGGGCTCTTATTCGGCACACATATAATAACATAATAATAATATCGGTAGGCAGTCCGGCGGGTCCGCGCGTCATCTATGCGCGGCACGCGTTTCGCTCGTACAAGCTCTCGGACAGGTTGCGCCTATGTAGGTACACCCATACAATATATCCGCGTTATATATTCTCATTCTCATTATCGTTATTGCTATTATTATTATTATTATTATACACGCCGCGGCCTTGCTCGTGTTAAAGTTGTTGTTGTCGCGCCTCGGGCGCGGGACGGGGGAAGATTTTATATTTTACTTTCTACCGGATGCTCGGATTATTACGCGCGTGCGGCTTTCGAAACGGACGAATTCCTCGCGCGTCGGCGGGCGTGGCCGCGTGTATACCCACGTATGTGTGTGCGCGTATACATTATGGTGAAGTGACCGGCGGTGACCACCGTAACCGCTTGTATCGTGTATACGCAGCTAGCAGGTATAATATAGTGACCGCGCAAGGTTATCACCGGCGGCGGCGGCGGCGGCAGCGATTACGCAATAATAGCGTTTTGAGTGTGGCCGAGAGGAAAGCGGAGGTGGGGGAGGGCTAGGAACACCTCGGGTAGTGTAACCGTGCACGCGTATCGTTTTACACATTATATTATTCGTTTATTTTTTAATTTTTTTTAATATACCCATTACCCGCGGTAGACAGTACGAGAATATCATTAGATCATTATACACGCGTGTTATGATGTTCGATACGTGAAAAAGCAAAAGTACACCGTACCTACTGTAATGTACGTAACGGCCGCCTGAAAAACGAAAATCACTCATATGTAATCACAACGCCGCGGCCCGTACATTTGTTACAATGTTGGTTTTCGTAGATTGTTACGGATTTTCTCGAGTATGCGTCGAATATCATAGTAAATCGAACAATACGTACTTATCGCGGTTTTTTTTTTTTTTTAATTTCGCTCGAAACCCAATATTCTTTGCCGTCTAATCGCAATAAACAATTATACGCGACACTCGAACCGGGGAAAAATTAGAACGCAAAAGCGTAGAAGAAAAAAAAAAAAAACACGTACAAATCTTAGTTATTTATTTAATATTTATGTCTTTATGTCCATAATGTCCGTTCATGCCTTCACGGCCGCAGATATATGGATGACATCACCCAAACTTAGAAATGTACGGACTACTGAATCGGAAACTCGACGATTATTATTTAATATTAGATTGGGCAATCTATTACTCGGTAAAAAAAAAAAAAAAAAAAAAAAAAAGATGGGTAAAAACGTTTTTGGAATCAGCAAATTAATCACATCTCTCCATCGGTTTTTGTTAACGCCGGCTCTGTGTCTATTACATGGAACATTAGAAGGGGTACGTTACAGTTATTTTTGAATAGAAGAGGCGTCCGCATCGAGACCCCTCGGTTCAAGTATTGATTATATTATGGTGTTTCGATCGATCGATCGATGGTGTTTGAATCTAAAGTTCCTCTACGTTTTCTACACAATATATAGCCGATACCTATTTCAAAATAAACACGAGGTACATAAAATATAAAAAAAACCATCGTTCTAAATTTTCAAACGTCTTTGTTTGATTGAAATAATATGATGTCCGCATGATGTGCCCCGTGATTTTTACTATTCCCGTTGCAAACTGAACTGTAGAATCGTATAAAAAAATCGAACTACATTTATGTACGTTACATACAATTCTTATTTTTTTACCACTTAGCATGGATTATGTGAACATCGTGTACAATTTCCAAACATTTCGCTCGGCTAAAACAATTTTATCCACATAAAAGCAAATAAAACTAAATAAAAAAAAATTCAAAATCGGACAATGATTTTTGGTAGAAAAATTGTTCACAGACACAAAAAAACCAATAATACGCATTTTTCGCTGCGCACTGTAGCGCGTGCTTTATAATGTTTAAGAATGATCAAAATACAAATCGCTGAAAATTAAAAAAATTACAGATAAAATATTACAGGTTATGGAACAATGATAACTCCGAGTATTTTCGCACCGGAATAGCGCAGTCGTATATCCGCCGTGCAATACTTTTGTTACATACGACGAGATGCGACGACGACCGTCCGGACGGCGGTTGCGTTATTTCGTGGTCACTATACTATAATAGTGTAAAATACTATACTACAATAGCGTGTAAAATGTCTAAAACGCGCGTTTTTGACCGTGAAAAAAAAAAACCCCTTAAAAAAATGCCCATACCATATATCGACGTTCGTTTTGTATTAATAAAATAATAGCGAACTGCGGTTAAACGTTTTTCTAGAATGTGGTATACTAACGAGTTCATATGGGCCGTTTCCAATTCGTACACAATACCTACCGTAAAACAGCGGCCGGGTCAATTTAATCATTTTTCGACTTTGTTGGTGTAAAACGACTGACCCTCGCACTCCCGCTGTTAAGTTCGATGGCTCGAGAATGTCGATTTTCTGTGATTATAACAACACGTCCCCGAAATCGCATTTCGAGTACCTATATTATACCAATATACCTGTTCAAATGACTCTGTGGACTAAATACGTTTTTTAACAGCTCTGCGTGTCTATCGGCGCGGGCAGAATGACTTGACGACTTAGTCCAGTGGCATAATTACGAAAGGGGGGACACGGAGGATAGATCCTCTCCCAGAGCCTTTTTTTTTTTTTTTTCTCATAAAAAATTAGGTATAACGTTGTAATTTTATTGAGTGTTCCTGTTGCCTGTAAAAGCGCAATATTTTTTAAAAATAAACATTTAATTTAGTTTTATTGTTATAAACTTTATCACTGGTAAGTAATCAAGTTTATATTTGGTCGTTATATACAATGTATACGATAACGTCTAAAGTCGGCTAAATATACCTTTAGTTTCAATGTTTATTTTACGCCACTCATAGTTTTATGAGATTACATTATTATTATTGGATTACATGATTAGTGAATAGTGATAAAATGTTATTAAAGCTTAAAGAAAATACATTCGAGTATCAATAATTTTCTCTTTTCACAACAAATGTACAGGTATGTTACCCACATACCTAATGAAAATAATAAATATGATTTAAGATTCCAATACAAATGGCTAATTGAATTTTAAACAGAATTGGAGTTTTCCGTAATTCGAGTAAACCCCTCCCCCTACCGTAACGTCTTCTTTTTCTCATATTCTTTTATCCAAACTATTTGGAATCGAATACCCTCGTCTAAACTTCTACGTGACCCGATCTCCTCCCCGCATTCACCCGCTCTCTTCGTCATATTCTCAATCGCATCTAACAGCCATTTTTCGGTCTACCCCTCCCCTTATTTCCTCTTATATTTATTTCCATTACGATTCTACTGCTTCAGATTCTTCTTTCTTTATGATATGCTCAAATCATTTCAGTCTATTTTCTCTCACCCGTCGGAGCCACGCTTAAGTTACCTCTTGAGTATTCCCATTGTTTATCCCGTATTCATCCACATAAATATTCTCGCCTCTGCCACAAGCACTCTCTGTATTTCCGTTTACTGGCCGATTCTCATCCGTCCAACTCGCTTTTAAAAAGTCAAATTGCAATTCTCTTGTCACACAAAACACTCATTTGACGGCTTTTATCCGCTTTATTATCCGAACACACTCATAATCCTTCGTGTCACATCCTATTTAAAGCCACCGCAGTTCTTTTCGACAAAATACCTCGTGCAGGTACACTCAAAGTAATTAAAAATATGACGCCCTCTTCCCTTCCGCTCCTCCTAGAACGAATTCTTCCCGATCACGGCACCGCGAGCTACGAAACGTGTACAGTGTGGGCTCGCTGAAATCCCCAAACGGCCACGCCGCCGCGCCGTACTCGCGGATCGCGTGTCGTATATATTTCGCGCGAGATGAAAAAAAAAAAAACTACAACGTGCTTATAATATAGCTGCCTTTTTTTTTTTTCATATTTTCCATTGCAAGCCCCGGCTAAGATTTATCGTCTCGGCGATTTCGAAACATAATAATAATAATTGTTATTATTACCGCCGGCCGGAGCGGTGCCGCGAGGCGGCGGCGGAACGCGCGGGTTAACAGAAAAAAAAAAAGTAAAAAAAATTAACAAAAAAAAAAAAAACCGAACACGTTAAGTATCGGGCGCGCGGCGGGGGACGGCGGACAGAGCGCAGTACACGTTTGTAACAATAATAATTTTATACGCGCGCGCGCGGAATAAAATAGAAATCCTAGTCGCCTCGAGCTTGCGGAATAGTTTTGTTTTTTGTTTTGTTTTTTTTTTTCGTAGCGACGGGCGCCCGCGAAAACCTGTTTCCGTCGCGGAATGTGGGGCGCGCCCGGGCGTTTCCCCGTGCGAGCGCAAACCGTCGCGCCCAACTCTCTTGTTCTGCGCAGATTCGATATTATCGTTAGACATTGTAATAACGCCGTCATCGTCGCCCCGCAGATCCTAAAACGCCGGTACGAATAATGTTTTTATTAGATTATTATTTATTTTTTTTTCTCATTCTCTCGGTTTTATACGTCATCGCGTCGTTTCCCACTCCGGGCCGTACCCCCGCCGCCATACTGTCGCGAGCGCCGAGCACGCTCTAGTACGTTAACCGACGCGAGCTTATCAAATACCGATTATGTTATGCAGGCACGAGATTATGTTGGCGAAACAAAATACATAAAAAAAAAAAACATTCTCGCGGGAGTTTTTTTTTTTTCGTCTGTCTAAAACTATGCGCGCGCTTGTGTCGCCGCCTATTGGCCGCGTTGTCGCTGAAACAAGACGTGGCGTGTTACGTTTTGTTTCGTTTTGTTTTTTTCCGTAACGATTTGAATAACACACGACTGATTTAACGCAACAATGACGGTACGGTGGCGGGGCTGGGAGGGAGGGGCAGCGGCGAGCAAGAAGGATCGGTAAAAAAAAAAAAAAATAGTAAAAACGCGATTTCGGATTTTGACGCGGCCGACGAATACGGACCTCGCGTACCTATCGTATCGAGCCCGGGAGGCAGGCGCCCGGTGCGGTTTATCCGTCGCCAACAAACGTCCAATCCAACGGTGTGTTTAAAAAAAAAAACACACGGGACTTTTTCAGAACGCGACGTTTTCGATAAATAGATATTCCGAGCGAGCCGCTCGTTTGTTGAACAGTCAACGTTTATTTTCTTCTCAAAAAGTCAATATTTTTCGAAACGAAACGTGTTTTACGTTTAATTTGCACATTATACGCAGATACTATGGACATACATCGACTGCTATCGTGAAATATTCACAGATTCACGTTTCGGATTTTTTAATAATAAGTTTAGATGAACGCGTTATGGTATCCCGGTCGAGCGCTGAAATTATCCCGTATTCGAACACGAGCTTTTGAACTACGCCAGATTATTTAGTTTATTTCCACGCAAAAGCATGATTATAATTAGAGACCGGATTGGGTCCACAAAAAAGCGCTTTAAAACATCAAAAAAATCAAAAACGATAGAGGAGTTCCCCCACTAATGGCTATAACTTATTATTAAATTTAATTTCCTAACGCCACAAAATTGATTATCATACAAAATAAGTTCTCTTAAATACAATCGTACGTGTTACGAAAAAAATTCCTTTGCTTTAATCATTTTCGTGGTGTTAGAAAATTATATTTATAAACTAAATCCGTTAGACGGGAGACTGTTAAACCCCTCTATTATTTTTGCGGTTTTATACATTTTTTAAGTGATATTTTTTCTAGGCTTTTTGACGTTTTCAAGTGTTTTTCTTGTGGACATATATCAATCCGATCTCTAATTATAATAATATTAAGTCACCGAATTCTTTTGAAATTGTATGCGCTGCAATTGTACGGTCAATATTGTTTATAATGCACGTTTCGAAACCGTGGTCTCCAGCACACGTTCGGGCGGGCTTTCCCGACTTGTTCAAAATTAATAACGCGACTACATTATTGTATAATAGGCGCTCGTAACATCCGTTCATATCGCACTTTTGAGAAAACGGACTACAGCGGGTCGGCAGATCGAACAACGGGAAAGGGTGGTCACGTGGTAACGTTGGAAAACACGGAGGTCACGAGGGCGCTAAATTTCGCCACCCCTGCGCGGCGTCATAATGACTATTGTCTATACGATTATTGTAACAATCATATTATATTTACCGTGTTGGTCGTTGTCGAGGCATCGCCGTAGGACGGCGGTGGCGGCGTGACGGAAGGTACCTGGGCCGCGGTCGGTGGACTGTACGCGATTTCCGACACGGCCGCCGAATAATAACCGGCTCCTACTTGGTCGACGCCGGTCTGGTCGAAGACGCCGGTTCCGCTCAAGCCGTATTCGTTGCAATAATCCACGCAACAATCGTCCACAATACTGTCGATGCAGTCTTCTCCGCTGACGCCGCCCTCAACCACGGTCATGTGTTCTTGTTGTTGTTGTTGTTGTTGTTGTTGCTGTTGTTGTTGCTGTTGTTGGTTTCGTCGTCGGTTCAGGTCTTCGTCCTGCAGCTGCAGATCCGCCGTGGTGGTACTGCAAGAATAGAAATCGGCTGCGTTTCCCGTGCCCGTAGTGGCCGCCGCGGCCGCGGCCACCATGCGATCCAGCCACGACGGCGAAGCCGGCGCGGAATAATAAGCACCGCCGTACAACATCAGCTCGTCGTCGTCCACGTTGTCTTGCTGATGGAGACCTTGTCCGTTATCGACCACCAGCGACGGCGGTTCGTCCAGCCGGCGGCGGCCACCGTAGTGAGGTTCTCCGTCGTCGTCATCGTCATTGTTGTCCCCAAAGGCCGCGGTTCGCGGACGTCGCCGCACCGGACGAGCCGTTGTAGTCTCCGTAGCGGTAGGAACGACTACGTCATCGTTGGTCCCGCCGCGTAACATTTCTATCAAAAGTCGATGTTTGTTGCTTTTGTCGGTGTTGTTATTATCGTTGCAGTTGTTGGCGTGGTTTATTTCCGCTGATGTGTTGTTATTGGTGCAGGTCGGTTCGGTGGTGGATTCGACTTTTACGACGAAATCTGCGTACAGGCGGGTGGCCGGCGGCGAAATCGCTGGCGGCGGCGGCGGCGGTACCGTTGCCGTCAACAGCGATCTCAACAAGGTGGTCTTGCCGGTGTTCGGCAGATTCGTCGTTGTCGTCGTCGTCGTGGCCGTATTGATCACGCAGGGCACGACGGCTGCGGGGCTGGCGGCCGTTTTGAATTGCCGCCGTTCGCTCGCGGTCGTGTTGATTATGGAGGCGGGCGGTTGTTCGGCGATCAGCGTTGGTTTTATGTCGTTTTCGTTGACGTTGCCGGTGAAAAAACAAATGTCATCGTATATGGTGGTGTCGCTGAAATACCCGTCGCCGGCCGCGCTGTTTATTAGCAACGACAAGTCGAAACCGTCGAAATCGTCGCCGCCGCTGCCGATTATCGGCTGTTGATCTTCGGTCGACGAAGACGATATCTGGTCTCCCATCAATCCGCCGACGTCGGCTTGTGCGGTAGGTGTCGGCCACCACCAGAAATCCGCCATGGACACGGGCTGTTGCAGCTCTTGTTGATTCGACGTGATCATCGCGGCCGCGTTTCCGACCGCGGTCGTGGTCGACGCCGCCGCCGAAGCGATATTATAATAATCGGTACCGAGCATCATCGTGGCCCCGGACGCGATCTTCGCCATAGTCTCGGTAGTGTACAAACAACAACAATAACTATTATTGTTGTTGTTGCGCTAATACGTCGTCACCGCGAATATACTATAAGAAAAAAAGGAAACAATTTTTTATTATAAATGATGGCCGGATTAACAGGCGCTGTTAATATTGTATTGTAGGCAAATACCGTGCACGTGGTTAGGTTTGATTGGGTTAAGTTACGGGCAGTGCGACAAAACACTGTACAACAAATGATAAGATAGGTTAGGTACCCACACGGGACTGTTCCATCGGCGTTAAAACGTTCCGAACTGCGAGATATCGAACTGTGAACTATTACGGTACGCACGTTCGAAACGAGCAATGCAACATTATAGGTTAGGTTACAAGTCGCGGTTTTGAAATACGGACGGGCGACTTTTGCGGACCGGTCCCATCCAAAACCACACTATACTATACGGCGGGTTTTATGCGTTGGTATTTCAAGGGGCTGTATAAAAACGGCGGAAACGGCTGGAACGCACGCGAACCGAAACGGTAGGTAATAATTATTTTTGCACTACGCGAGAATTCGGTTTTTCGACCGACGACGCGTATAAATGGTTGTTTTTTTTTTTATATTATCGCGAACCGTTCGGAACTAGTTTGATGGGATATCTGTCCGTTTTCGAACGACAAACCCGATACACGACAAGTAGGTACCTGTAAACTGTACTGCCTGTGTATAATAATATCGCGCGCCAGCGGCCGTCCGCCGTCAAATTTCTTTTATCCGCTCGTCGTGTGCGCGTGCGCGTGTGCACGAGGAAAAATGGCAGCAAAGTGTAAAACGTTTGACACAGATTTCGCGGTCCGCCGCCGGCCGCTCTCTCTTTTCCGCGCTACGGCAACGTCGTACGTAACCCACAATCGCGACGACGGCGAAGACGACGGGGTTAGGCAGCGAGGAGAGAGTGTGCAGACGTCGCGTGTCTGCGCACGGACACAATAATACACGCGATATCGCTTTGCGTACGTGAGCCGCGTACGTAGTGGTCAACGCGAAACGACCGCGGCGCTGGAGCGGCGGAGAGGAGAAAGGACGGACGGCGGCGGCGGTGGCTTCGGCCGCGACGAAACGAGAAGAGAAAGCCGCCGCCGCCGTCCAAATGACGTGTCTTTCGACGATTTTACAACGTGCACGTGTCTTGCGCATTTCAATAGCGTCGTGTTACATGTTTTTTTTTTTTTGTTTATCGCAATACGGCAATAATATGAGATAATATGTACGGCCGGGCGTAATAACGTGAAACTTTGTGAAATATTTGAACGGCTCGTGTAAAAAGCGCGACGTTCGCCACCCGGGTGTGAAAATCGCGAACATTCGTTAAAGTCGTCGGCAAACGTCACGGCAGTCATCGCGTACCCGGCCGTGCATCCCGAGTATTCGACGGAAAAATGAAAACAATAGTGAATTGGTAAAACCCAAATAATATTATGTACGTAGAATGCGTCGTGCGTATGATTGTAAGGTTATTACCCCCACAACCAAACCCCAGCGTCTGGATATCGGGGGAACGGGACGGGTCGGTGGATCGTATCCTTCCCCTGCCGCCTTACAGTTCTCGTTACCGCTGTATTGTTACGAGATACCGTGTATCACCTACGACGCGATGCATAGAAAAAAAAAAGGAAAAACTGTACCCCCCCCAGCCCCCGTGGATTCGCCGCAGCCCCACAGAACTCCGGTATGTCCGCCTAATGTCAATATTATAATATTGTCGAGTAGGATTCGCGAATCGCCACCGCGTGCGTTTACACGATCAGGTATTATAGCCAATATTCAAATATTTGCAAACTACGCTTGTATAATGTTGCATAAAGGTAGGTAAAAAAAATATTACTTGTGCGGCACCGGGGAGTCGTCTCGATCCGGATGACGGTGGCGCGGTCGGCCGTAACTTTCCGCCGTCGTATGCGAAATAACTGGCGCGGGAAACCGGGGTGAAAAACGCAGCCGCCGCCGCCGCCACTGTGAACGCGTATTGAAATGATCCCGGGGGCTCGTCCTCCTCGTCCGCCCTCGTTCGACAATCACGGCGATGACGGTGACGATGATGCAGACGTCCGTTCGATTCGCGAATTATATTAACAATATAATGATTATTATGTTGCCGTGGAATCGCGAGCAAAGAGTATGGATGCTGCTGCTGCTGCTGCTGCTGTTGCCGGCGCGCGCGCGTCTGTACTTTCCGTGCGTACGTTTGAAACTGATTTTTTTTTTCCGTATTACGAATTTAATCCCATTCGCTCGCTTATGCGTCTGTACACTGAAATGCGGTTTACCTACACTCCGGTCCGCGAGCAACGAATGGGAAAAAAAAAAAAAAACCGATACACGATAATGGACAGTAATACGCAGACGAGATTGGTGGTGGTAACGCGGCGGCGGAACATTCTTCGGCAAACCGGCGAAGGCTGCGGCGGCGCGGCCGGTCGAGAAAACCACTTTCCCCCCCGGATCCGCGCCGCCCGCGCGAACAAGCGTCACGACGGCGGCGCGCAGTCGCTTTCTATTTGCGCGGTTTCGCCGCTGTAATCACAAGACGGCAACAAGTACGCGCAATTAGCGAATTTTCAGGTTTTTGTTTTTTTTTTTTCCCCCTCAACGACTCGTCTTGAAGCGGCCGCGCGCTGTTATTTCGTATTTCGTGTACATTCAGGCTTGCGCGCGAAACTTATCGGCCAAGCGCTGAAAACAATCGAAATATTGTACGTGTTTCATGTTACACACGTTGCGCACCTACGCACATGACCGGATTTCGGGGATGGGGCGACGGGATGGGGTGGGGTGGGAACGGGGCGGGGCGGTAGTCGGGTGGCCCCGGGCCTCCGAAAAATGGAATTTTGTTCGCATTCTTGTACCTATGCTATAATAATTTATCACACGAATATTACAAATTGAAATCGCAACTTGAATAAAAATGTCAAATCGTCGATGTTGTCGTACATTCTTTTCAACTCGGATAAATAAATTAGGCACATGTTGTATATTTGAATAAAATAATAAAAGTCACTGCTATGTAAAGATGATAAGTTTTTTCGCAAATATAAATATCTGTACATTGTCATTATTATTATTTTGGATTCTGAGTGGAGCGAGGAAAGTTTTGGTTTTACAGTGGCGTTTAAATTTTTTTTTCTGTGAATAAATTTTCTACCAGCAAATTGTATATTCCGATTTACAATGATAGCACTTTTTCTGAAAGGAAATCTGACTGGGGAGGTACGGTAGGGAGTAAATAGTTAATCGTTGCGTACAGATAATACATTCAATTTCCCCTTTACTACCTTCCCAACTACTCACGTACAACAATGGCCCACCCACGTGCGAAGTATGTCCGTCTATTTTTTTTCGTTTAATCTTAACTCAACTACAATTCGACAGCGTTTATATAAAATACTACGAATTCATTATATTTGAATTTTTGATAATTTTCAATATTTTTTATTTTTTGTCGAATTTTTCTCGAAAATAGTGACTATTGCAATATTGCGCTGTATCGAGCATTGCATGTTTTTAATTCACACCCCGAAAGAATATAGTGATGCAAATCAAAGGTTATGATTTTCGAATTATTACTATCAAAAAAATTATGCAGAATTTCAGTCCGTACGTAATTTTGTATGCTCGATTTATTTTATTTATTTATTTATTATTTAAAATAGTATATTGTGTTCTCAAATGTCTTTATTTTTCTTTAAAATAAAATATAATTTCAAGCGTAAATATTGGCACTGCTATCTTTAAGATGTGACTATATTATGTCCAATTGACTAATATATACGTAGTTACACAATATTTGTCTAGATTTATGAAACATTAAAAGTCGATTTCCCAACATATTCAGAATTTTAATTTAAGTTACCATTCTTTCAGGTGTGCGATGTAATGCAGTACCGGCACTAGGGGAGGACAAATGTGACACATGGCCAGGGCTCCGAGATAAACTATATTACACATACAATCATAATAGTTATACTATCAGTGGTGGCTATCTCCAAAAATACAACATGTGCTCATTATAAAATTAATTGTTATCTACATTTCAGTTAACCCAAAAAGATACTCTTCTCGTAGCATTTTTATAACTTTTAGGTTCTGAGCGTAGCGAAGAATGTATTGGTTTAACAGTAATGTTTTTTTTTGTCTTTGGACAACTTTTCTACCAGCAAATTTTACTCCAACTTGCAATGATAGCACTTTTTCTGAAATCTGACAGGGGAGGTACTTTAAAGAGGTCACTTTTTTGATTTTCCAAAGAGTTTTCTCAACTAACGGGAAAAATCGGGAAAAAACGGAGGAAAAACGGGAAAATGTACGAAATGTATTAGTAAAACGTTATGGTTTTTTTTTATTACTTAGGACAAATTTTCTATCAGCAATTTTGTTCCGATTTTACATAGATAACCTATTTTCTGAAATACCCTTTAGGGAGGTTATTTTTTGAATTTTCTAGCAAATAGGAAAATCCGGGAAAGAACATGGAAAACCAGGAAAAAAGTAGGAAAAATGAAAAAATAGGTACAATATTAGACAAATTTTATTAAAGAAAATATATAATGTATAATATAAATTATTTTACCACAATATGACATATATATTGTTGACAAAGCAACACTAACAACCGAACTCCGCTCAGAATCGTTTTTTCGTTAGCAATGGTTTATCGTTGCTTACAGATATACATTAAATTTCTCCTCTACTACCTTCTCAACTCATCACCTATAACAATGGTTGCACCCGTCCCCATTATCCTAGGACAGCTTTTTTAATGTTTTTTTTTTTATAAATAATATTAGGTTTAAACTATCTAACCAATGATCTGACACACTACATCCCTTATGAATACGGATACAGTAATGAGTAATTATATTATTCTTGGCGTTTTATTACTAGAAGTGTCATTTTATACAATATACAATTAAACAAGGCGGAAAATAAACTGTCATATTATTTATTACCATGAACATGGTATTTTAGGCACTGATCTTTAAATCCCGGTTCGTTAAAAACTAAGGGTCAAGTTAATCAATCTTGGAATTTAGACCCTTCGGTTCCAATCCACTTATCCCAGTTAGGAAATGCGTTTTTTAGCACCCTTTTGATGTACACCATCGCCACCACTTATTATTTCTTTTTTCGATTTTTCCGCTTGCTTTGTAAACTTTTATATTGTTACAATATTATAAGTTAATTAGATATAAGTCTATTTCATTATTAAATATTTGCTGTACTAACCGGTTTCGTCCGTGCACAGTTTTGAACGAAAATGTAAATATCTATTATATCTAATTCAACTAATAATTGTATTAACAAATTACTGCTCTTGCTAATAATGTCGAGGCTTAGGCCTTACTTAATTAAGTTGTGCTACAATTGACTCGGGGGTGGGGAGAGTATAATAGGAACAACATTGTAAAAAAAAAAATCGTAATAAAGTTTAATAGTATTGTTAGAAAGTTAAAACAAAATAAAACTGTTCTTTTATAATGTTTATACCTAATAAGGATTACTACGAAAATTGAAATAATTATTATAATACATCAGGTATATTTTTATTACGAAAATTATCATTTATTCGTGCAGGCTTGGCTATTGTGGTATCATGTGTTATATGTAGTACATTTTTTTTTTTTTTTTATCGGCTATTACGTCGATTTGTCGTACATTCTTTCAAACAGTCACACCTTATTAAAACTCCTTGTCCAATAGTCGAAGAGAGTTGCGATATCACTTGACGAATACCGATTTCATTTTCTGCAATTATTGCCGATTCTACGCAATTTTTCTGTGCACGCAGTGAACGAGATTCCGAGTGAAAAGTTGAGAGAGTGTTCCCGCTTTTGTTCCCAAAGCGATACAAATCTCCATCCACAACTTGTAACATCACGGCAATCAGCAAGTAATAATGTGTAGGCATTAAATTTACTTCGATCGACTTCCGGAATTTTAATTTTGACTGTTCGATTGTACAAGTGCACGCGCGTTCAAGGCCGACGGCCTTAGTCGTGAAACGCAAATTCCAAAGTCGATCGCCATAAAATAGTAATAGATGATAATTTTTGTAATAAAAATATACCTATAATATAGTATACAAATCAATATAAATTTATAACTAAACGTATAATATTATAAAACATATTTCGGACTTTAACTAAACACTAATTATTTATTCTAAGATTTAATAAATCTCGTTTGTAAAAGTTCGAACAACGAAAACCCTTTGAGGTTTTACCCGAATATTTTTTTTTAAGTTTATCCTAGGTTTTACCGAATCAATCAGTAAATAACAATGGTAAGAGATGGGGGGAACGAGTTTCCTTTCTTATTTATTGTAAAATTATCAACCCCCTTTAGTTTAAGTTTTCAAAGTGTGGGATAACGCTTTAGTTATTGTCACTGAGACATTTTATATACCTACTTTAGGATTAGGAATATTAAAAATACATTTTTCAATGCCTATTAGATCAGTGGTTTTTCAACCCGTGGATAGCGACGAATTTCGCGATAAAAGCTTATACAATAATATATTTGTATAATGCATTTATATACAACAAAATTATATATAAATTATTAACTTAATTTTTTTAAAGTGTATATTTATTACTTCTACAAAGAAAAAAAATGTCTACGTACTGTGCACTGTATCACAGTACGTGGTATGACATTGGCTATAATAATTTACGATTAAACCGTACTATTTCATATTAATAGAAGATAAGAATGAACAATCAAATTCCATTAAAATTTTCAACAACATATTAAAAGAGGTTTTTCACAATGTCGAATTGTAAAACGTCAAAAAGAAATAGATTTCATACAGTACATGATTCGTGGATTGCAGTATTATACAAAATGGAGCCAACATTGAGTAAGTTGTATGAAAACAATCAGGTTCAAATATCGCACTAATTTTTTTTTATATTATTACATGTATTTTAAATTCTGAGAAGAGCGAATAATGTATTGGTTTTACAAAGATGTTTATTTTTTTTATTTTCTGTAGACAACTTTTCTACCAAAGGACTTGCTCCGATTTTTACGTATAGCACATTTTCTGAAAAGAAACCGGTATGGAGTAATACCTTAAAGAGGTCGTTTTTCGATTTTTCCCGGAGTTTTCTCAAAAAATGTGAAAAACCGAAAAAAAAAACGGAGGAAAAACGGGAAATTGTATGAAATATATTTATATAATATTACGAATTTTTTTTTTCCTGTGGGCAACTTTTCTACCAGCAATTTCGCTCCAACTTTTAATGATAG